GTACTCTACGGCGGGAAGTATCAACCGGCACGTCGATGTGAACGACCAATAGGTTGGCTTAAGATCAAGACTTACCGTCTCCCGCCCGAATCACACATCGATGACCGCCAACCTAGTCAGCTCAACATCGACCGACCCACCATCCGCCCTCCCCTTCCAACCGCACGCCGCCCACAAACACGCGGGCTCACAAACAATGACTCACCTCACACGCCACTTGTCTAGCTGTTCTGTATGCTTAAACTGTCCATTTTAACCTTGTCCTCCCACCTTCTTTTATTTCGTTTGACTAGGAGCTGGTGTCATGAGCTCGAAAATTCACAAGTAAATCTTGATGTTCCCGAAGAACCTCTTCTTTTCTTCATTATATCGCCCGGACTGTATACCCCCTCTGATCTGCATATATATATAAATATATATGGAAGTGGGGTGTTCATTCGACTTATCTGGTGAAGGCATATACTTATCCCGAAGGTGCCTTGAGGATCGTAATTGAGTGATATCTGGCTATCGCTTAACGACCTCAGACATATAATGGAGTGGAGCCGAAAAAGACAAGGGAGACCGGAATGGTCATTTCCGGCTTTTTAACCGATATCAGCCAGTTATACCCAATCCCAGGGGTTGGAACCCTTGGCACCACGGGCTGGTTGCTTCGTCGGTTGTGATCGTCATTATGATGCGATATCAGGCTGTCGTTTAGCGACCTCAGACATATGATGGAGTGGAACCGACAAAGACAATAGAGACTGAAATCACCAGCTCTGGCTTACTAGCCATCGTCAGCGGGTCAAATCCAGACCCAAATGGCATCCCACCCGAGCCTCGACTTCTCTGGTCAGAGTTAAACGCCCTAACCATTAAGCTACGAGCTCGTTGTCCTGCCGGTATTTGATCGGGGACATACACTGGCAGTTACGCGTGCACCGATCTCGTAGAGGAACGATAAAGTTCAGCTTCGCTTAGGAGCTCACAACTAAAGCCCACGCAGGCAGTCCCATAGCATATATGAGGGTAAGATGCAACAAAGCAAAGGGAGACCGGAATGGCCGTTTCTGGCTCGTTAGCCGTCATCAGCCAGGCATACACAATCTCAAGTGTTGGAAACCCTGAGATTTGAACCCGGGACTTCAATAATTGAGTTTATCACTCCAGCATTTCACAACGGGCCCGTTGCTTTGTCAGCTGCGATCGCGAGTATGGTGGAACTGGGGTGCTCATCTGATCTATCTGAATAGGAAATATATTTGTTACGTTGTGTGTGGAAGCTCGTTCTAGAGCAATCGCAGGCAGTCGCATAGCGACTTCTAACGTATGATGGAGTGGACACCACAAAGATAAGGGAGATTGGAATTGCCATTTCTGGCCTATTAGCCATCATCAGATAGTCATACCCACCCCCAAGTTTTGCCCCATCCGAGGCTTGAACTCGCGACCTTTTTTATCAGGGCCCCAGAATGAGATCCAAGACAAAGTGGGACGAATGAGTTCTATTAGCGATCGGTGATCGTTCATCAACCCATGCATGTATCTATAAAGTAGACAGTAACATAATCACATGGACAGATTATTTTTGTAACTGAAATGTAAACACAGATCCGAGATTACGCACGCCAAGTTCATCAAATCCCTGAGTCTACCAGAGGACGCAGATATACGCACACGTCAACTGTCCAAACTGGATCAGGATAGCGACTTGACAGTACAGAAACTAGCAGATGAGTGTTTTAAACTCAAAAACATAAAACAGGATACAAGGTTGATTGGCGAAACCAGCAGTCAACAAATACAGGTTTTTGACATCAAAGAACATTGGCAGTCACAAGGCGCAAGTCACCCCCCGAGGACCAAAGACCGCCTGCTGGAAATGCGGCGGTTGGCAGTATATCGCAGAGTGCCCTTATCAAACACGGAAGTGTTTCAGATGCTCCAGACTTGTCCACAAGTCAACACACTGTCAAGCAGGACGTCGAATTCTCCAAAAAATTGCAACGTCATCTATGATGGTGAATCACAGGTGTTAAGCTGTGAACACAGAAAATATTTATCAGTGTCCACAAATGAGAAAAATTGTCAGACTTCAAGTTGACACGGCGTCGGATTTAACAATAATCTCAGTAGACACCTGGCTATAATTTTTGCTGTTCGACGATTTCACCAGTTTATATACGGCAGACATTTCACCTTACACACGGATCACCAGCCTTTGAAGTTTCTTCTGGGAACGAACGCGGGCATTCCACAGAATATTGCGAAGCGTATACAGAGAAAGGTCATAATCCTTTTAAATTACAACTTA